AGATCCGCGCTGAAGGCGCCAGGGGCACGGAGCAAAAAGGAAGGGGGCGCACTCTCAGTCACAGGTCTGGCGGCCTGAGATTCCATCTCTCAACTCATGGCAGGCCATGCGAAAGGCGTTCTCGACGTCCGCGGGGCTGGGGCCAGCCGCAGGGCGGGGGGCCGCCGAGCGGCGTGGCGACCGTGGCCCGCTGCCGCTCTTCGCCGCGCGAACCGACGCCGTCGTCAGGAGCGAGGGGTCGTCGGGCGGGGAACCGGCGGATGCCTCCGACGCTGTAGATGGCGCCGCCGTCAGGAATGAGGGAGGGGCCGATGTGCTCTCGTTGGAGGGTGAAAGTGGGGGTCGGGCGCAGGGTCCCAACAATGGCGTCTTTATGGGCCATGCATGGGCGATGCATCCTCGATTGCTGCGTCCGGCGGGGGAGCCGCTTGAAGCCCCCCTCCTGCACCCATGCGCGAGGCGCGAGGGGGAACGAAGCAAGGGGGCGGGGGGCTCGGGAAAGGCGACGAAGGCAACGTGCGCCGAGGTCGCAAGAGACAAAATTGAAAACAAAAAAAAAAACGAAAGCGGTGAGGCGAGGGTCAAAATCTGCCCAGCCAATCTGACATGCGAAACACTGCGACTCAGTTTTCGGGATCTTGAAGGCCAGCGCAACATGTGAATTCACATGGTGGGGAGAAGCAAAATGTGAATTCACATTTTGGGAAGAAGGAACATGTGAATTCACAGTTTGGGAAATTGCCCCCGTGCGAACCTACCTAGGAGTTGGATCATTTGGGAAAGCAACATCTACATCTACACCGACGGCTACATGTGCATCTACACCTGCATCTACATCTACACCAACATCAACAGCGAGACTCACGTCTGCATCTACATATACACCTACATCTGCATCTACATCTACATATATATCTACATCTACATCTACATCCACATCCACATCTACACCTACACATTCATCTACATATACACATACACTTTCGCATTGGTTTTGCTTGTGGTTTGCATTGGCTTTGCGTTTGCTCCTGCCTTTGCGTTTGCCTTTGCCGTTGCTTTCGCGTTTGCTATTGTTGTTGCTGTTGCTTAGCGCTTGTTTGTTTGATGTTGCTCTTGCTATGTTATGCTATGCTAGGGACCGCTCGGCTGCGCTGTGCTATGCTATGTTATGCGATGCTATGCTATGCTGCGCTGTGCTATGCTATGCTATGCTAGGGACCGCTCGGCTGCGCTGTGCTATGCTGAGCAATGCAATGCTATGCTATGTTATGCTATGCTGCGCTATGCTGTGCTATGCTGCGCTGTGCTGTGCTGAGCAATGCTATGCTATGCTGTGCTATGCTACGCTGCGCTGAGCTTTGCTGAGCTATGCTATGCTATGCTATGCTATGCTATGCTATGCTGAGCTGAGCTGAGCTATGCTATGCTATGCTAGGCTAGGCTAGGCTAGGCTTGGTGAAGATATGCTATCCAGTGCTAATGCTGCGCTGCGCTATGCTGCGTTACGCTAAGCTAAGATAGACTAAGCTATGCTAAGCTAAAATAAGCTAGGCTAAGCTAGGCTAGGCTAAAGCTCAGCTAAGCTAAGCCAAACTAAGCTAAGCTAAGCTCAGATGAGATAAGCTACGCTAAGCTACGCTAAGCTAAGCTAAGCTAAGCTAGGCTAGGCTAGGCAGAGCTAAGTTAAGCTGAGCTAAGCTAAGATGAGATAAGCAACGCCAAGCTAAAGGGGCGTAGCTGGGGGAACCGCGGGGCGGATGCCGGGGGAACCGCCCGGGCCGGTTCCCACTGCCCGGCCCTTTACGAGAAGAGGGCGAGAACCCTTCTAGACAGAGCCCAGGTCGGGAAAAAGGAAAATGTGAATTCACATTTTGAAATTTTGCGCCGGAATCTTTATGAAGGGGCCAGAATGTGAATACATACAATTTGGGAAAAAAGGAAAATGTGAATTCACATTTTGGGAAAAATGAGAATGTGAATTCATAGTTTGGGAGAGTCGCGGGACACATTCCAAATCTGTCTTGGGGGTCGATAATTCACCGTTTGGGAACATGCGCGAAGACGCACTTGCCCTCCACTTCGCAGCCCCGCGCGCAGAATGCAAGAGAGCCTGCGCGCATGAACGCCAATGGATGGGCGGCGCGCGTTCCCGCGCGGGCAACGCGCGGGCGCGAGCGACTGGCCCTCCATGGCCGCAAACGTGGACCATCCAGCCCCCAATGAAGACCCCCCGTTGCAGAACACCTCTTTCGCCCTCCAATCTTCCCCTGGAGGCGTCGCGTGGCGGGCGGGGGGCTGCGGCGGGCCCGGAGCCCCGCAGGGCGCGCGCCCGCGCCCTCGGAGCCGGCGGAGCCGCAAGGGGGGGCTGCGCCCACGCTGACCTGGCGGCCTCCACCGCGGCGCGGCCGAGGTGGATCGAACCCGCGGAGCCAGCCGCCCCCGCGGGCGCGAGGATGAGCGGCCGCTGCGCCGATGCTCTCAGAGGGGGGCCTCAGGAGGCATGGGGTCAAACAAGGCCTTCCCGCAAGAGAAACGTCGGATCCTCAAGCAGCGCGGGCAGGTCGAGCAAGCGCCCGCCGCGCTAAGCTGGGGTGGTCATGCGAATGCGCCGCGCCGCTAGCGGAGGCGCGCGATGACCCGGCGCGCGGGCGCCGGGCCGTTGGACAGCGACCGCGGGTGGGGGGCGGCCTGGCGCGGCCGCCGGCGCGCGGCCGGGGGCGGGCGAAGGGCGCCGCCGATGGCGGAGTCGCCCTGGCAGGAGCCGCCACGGCAGGCAGGACAGACGCCGAGCTCGCGGGGCGGGCGGTGCTCGAGGACGGCCCACTGCGCCTGGCATTGCGGGCAGGAAGGCATGAACCTGGGCCAATCGCCGGAATCCCGCCGGTCGAAGGGGGCCCTGCTGCAGGGCAGCTGCGACTGCGTAGCCAGCGGGCAGTGCCCCGCGCAAGGCTGAGACTCGTCGACGGATGCAACGTCCGACTGGTGGATGTCCCGGGGGAACAAAAATTGGAAAACGCCCCGCGCGGCGCGCAGCTCAGCGTCGTTGAGCGGGGCGGCCCCAAGAGAGCCGCCGTCGCGGAGATAGTCGAAGAGCTCTCTCGACGTGGTGATTGGGTGGGGGGTGCCGCGCTGCGGGGGCGGGGCCCATGGCCAGGCGGGCACTGCTGGCGCGGTCCTTCGCTGCAGCAGTAACCGCAAAGCGCGGGGCCCGCCTGGAACAGGGGTACAGCAGATGCGGCACGATAGCCAGGTGAACCATGAGAGGGCCCCGCAGTCGACGCACGGCCGCCAAGCGCGCACCTGGTCGGGGTGAGACGAATGCCCTCAGGAAGCGCGGTCCACGGGAGCGGCGGGCGCGGGACCAGGATGGCGCGCATCCTTGCCGAGCGGGGGCATGGATTTGGAGGTCGCCTGACATGTCGATCGTGAAACAAGGCGCGCGGTCTCGAGCCCGCGCTGCGGCGACTAACGCGCCACGAAAGAATCACGGAGCCCCGGCTGTCCGTCTGGGAAGCTGGCGAGAGCCGAGCCTCCGACGGGAAGGGCGACGAATGTCGGGCCTTTGGGCGTAGACGCGAGCTTCCTCTGGGCGCTGCGCGACGGGCGACCCGCAGAGAAGAGCGTGGACGTCGACGTCGCGCGAGGGCAGCCATCGAGGAGTGCAGTGAAGGCGCCGGGGGCATGCGCTGCAGCGCCCGGCGTCGGGCCGGTGGAAGCTGCGCCGCTCGCCCCGGGCAGCGGCCCCGGCAGAGGTCTGGCAGGCCGCGTCCTCTGCAGGCGGTGCGGCGGGGGCCAGCGGCGGTGCGGCGGCGGACTGGCGGGGGGGCCAGCGTGGGCGAGGCCCGACGAGCTGCCGCTGCTGCGGCCCAGAGGTCGGCGGCAGGCGTGGGAGCGTGGCCACTGGGCCAGCGGAGGGCGGATTTCTATACGCGGGCCGCGGTGGCACGCCGCCGCGACCCAGCGCCGGCAGCAGCCCAAGCACCGTAGGTGCTCAGCCGCCGTGCCGTGACTCCCAACGGTCTCCAGCGCCAGGGGCACCATGCGCCATTGCGGTCGCCCTGCGTGGTAACACTGGCACATGCCAGCCTCGGTAACGCGCCGTCCCGGCCCATGGCGGCGGCCAGCCCGTCGACGCGACCGGGTTAAACTGTGACGTCGAACAAAAAGCCTAGGCTGCCCAGCCCGCTGCGTCTCGAGGTACAGAGTGGCATCCCTCTCCCCTCTTCCATCCTCCATGTTCCCTTGAATCCTTCTCCTCCTCCCGCCTCCCTCACCCCCTGTTCCATCCTCTTCCTCTTCTCTTCTTCTGTTTTTCCATACCTATTGCTATCCATATCATCATTATGATTCAAAACAGTAGTCTGATTATTCCTCCTCATCATCCTCGTCATAATCATCATCATCATCAGCAGCATCAGCATCATGAATATCATCATCCTCAGCAGCAACAGCATCATCATCATCAACACAACCACCATCACCACCAACACCATCATCATCATCAGCATCATCATCAACATCATCATCATCATCAGCAGCATCATCATTTTCATCATCAATTTCATCATCATCATCATCACCATCACCACCATCATCATCATGCCTCATCCCTCATACCTCATCCGTCATCCCCCATCATCGTTGGTATCAGCAGCATCATCATCATCATCATCATCATCATCATCATCATCATCAGTATCATCATCATTCTCACCATCACCATGACCATCACCCTCATCGGCATCAGCATCAGCATCATCATCATACCACCATCATCACCATCACCATCACCAGCATCAGCATCATCATCATCAACATCATCGTTCATCATCATCATCATGATCATAATCGGAATCATCATCATCATCATCATCATCACCATCATCATCATCATCATCATCATCCTGCTCCTCCTCCTCCTCCTGCTCCTCCTCCTCCTCCTCCTCCTTCTCCTCCTTTTCCAATTTCTCCCTCTTGCGCCCTTTCGCCCACTCTCAGGCCTCCGCCTGCATCAGGGCCGCAAGCACCGGGTTCTGCTTCATCGCTTCCTGGTACCTCTGAGGGTGCGGGGAGGGTGGGAGGGGGGGCAGGAGGGGGAGCGAAAAAGAGGAAATGAGGAGGAGGAAGAAAGAAGAGGAGGAGGAGGAGGAGGAGGAGGAGGAGAGAGAGAGAGAGGGGGGAGGGTGAGGACAGAGATGAGGATGCGGATGAGGATGAGGATGAAGAGGAGGAGGAGAAGGAGGAGGAGGAGGAGGTAGAGGAGGAGAAGGATGAGGAGGCGGGAGGGATGAGGGGAAGGGGAGGGAGAGCAGGAGCGGGAGCGAAAAAGGGGAAGGGGAGGGGCAGGCAGCGACCAGGATGGGAGGGGAGGAAGAGGAGACGAGGATGGGGAGGGGGGAGGCAGGCAGAGGGGAGTGAGGGGAGGGGAGGCTGGTGGATGGGCATGCAGAGGGAGGGAAGGGGGAACAAGAGGGGAGGAAGAGGGTGTTGAAATGCCCCAGCGATCATCCCCCCATTTAGCCCGCCTGTTGCCGCTGCCCGCTCTCACCCGCTCAGACATACGGTTTCGGTTCACAGAGCTCTTGAGTTTACGGTTGCAAAAAAACCTGAAAGCTTCTGGCGGGCGGCGGCCCGCCACTTGATGGTGGCGGAGCTGGCCGATTCGCCCCGGCCAGCTCCCGCCTCCACAGCGATCGCGCGGAGGTCTGCTCGGCGCGCCCCGTGGCGGGGGCTGCGCGCCAGCCTGCAGGGAGCAGGCCGGCATCGCGGGGGCTGGCGAGCCCGCACCCGCTGGACTGCCCGGGCGGTGCCTGAGACATCGCTCCGGCGGCTGCGTAGTTCCACGCGGTGTGCAGCAGCACCACGACGACTCCTGTGTCATCCAGCGGCAGCGGCCCAGAGCCGCGTGCGGCAGCCACGTCAAGGGTATCGAAGCTGGAGTTCGAGAAGGACACCCCGCTCTGCGACGGAGATCCTGCGCTCCTCGAGGAGTATCAGGAGAGGGCTCGAGACGCCTTTTACGGACGCATGGGTGACGAAAAGCAGATCGCGACGCCAGTCAACCTCAGGAACGGACTCTCGGGCACGGCCTACGACGCTGTCCGATCGCTCTCGCATCAGCAGCTGCTCACCTTCGAGGTCGAGACGATCGAGAGCGGTGGCAAGGGTGGCGGCAGCTACGAGAAGAAGAAGAAGCCGACCACCGAGGGACTAGAGTTGTTGCTCACGACCCTAGGTGAGTCTTTGCTGAATGAGAGGCCCGTTCGTGCAGCTGAGTTGTTCGACGGCGCGCTGTCCGATAAGGCAGTCTGGAGGGCACCCGGCGAGAGCATGCAGGAGTACATCACAAGACGCTCGAAGGCATTCGACGATCTCGAGAAGGTCAGCGAGGAGACGAGTACCAGCAGTGACTTGCAGGCCATCTTCTCCTGAAGTTCTCGGGGCTCGAGAGGCCCGACCGCGCCAGCATCATCAGCAGCGCTGGCAACAAGTACGACGAGGAGGCCCTCGGCAAGGCGCTTGGCATGCAGCACCCGAACGTCCACGAGCGAGAGAGCGGAAGGGCAAGAGTGACCAGGGGCCGGACCCTCGACCCCAGCGGCTCGGTCAACGGCGGCGTCACCACGAGGCTTGGCAGGCGGAGGGAGGCAGCGTGGCCAGGCTGGCATAGAAGAAGATGTAGATTACACCCTGCGAAATGCTTAAGAAATCATGGGTTAAGAAATTCATAGTCTCAGAACTTCAATAAAGACCCAACATTTCTATTCAAATCTTAGGATTTACATTGAAACGTTAAGAATAATCGAGACTCTGCCCGAAAACTTAAGTTTTCTTAAGCATCGCCTAAGGTGTACGAGTGCGAGGATGACGGCGCAGCCTCCGCTGGCCAACGCGCCCAGTCACCTGCAGGGAGCGACTACGAGGCGGTCTACCCTGGCGAGGACGAGGCGACGCTAGAGGAGATCGACCAAATGGACGACGAGGCGCTCGAGAGCTTCGCGGCCATCGTGCAGCACAAGCAGAGGCTCCACGGCAAGGGCGGCGGACGTGGCCGAGGCCGTGGGCGTGGCCGCGGAGATCGATCTCAGTCGGCAAGTTGGAGGGACAAGCCGACGGGACGAGCCAGGAGTGGTCCAGGCGAGAACCCAGAGCGACGAGCCTACTTCGAGAAGCTGAAGCGAATGACCAGGTGTGCGAGTTACGGGCAGATCGGGCATTGACACGGAGATCCCAACTGTCCGAAATCATCGAGAGCATCGCCACCTCCCTCGGAGAGGCCGAGGAGTAGTTACTTCAGCGTGACCGACTAAGACGGCAAGAACAACGGCGGCAAGGTCAGGATCGCAGAAGTGTTCGTGGCGGTATCGAGAGGACAGCTTGGGGCACTACCGAAGGCGAAGCCCCAAGCCCAGGCCGAAGCCAGATGTGAGGAAGGCGACGGTTGACGTCTACTACGAGCCGCCCGAGAGGCGGAGCCACGGACCAATGCCCATCATGAAATATCCCTGCCAGCACGCGGTCGACGCGCACCCGAGACTGCACAAGGGCGCTGACGGGATTACGTGGTACCTCACGTGCCACGTGTCCGACCAGGAAAGCATCCACGTTACCAGGGCGTACCGACCGAGGTCTGGACGAAAGAACGGGCAGGGGCTCTGGAGGTTCCTGATGTGCTCGCTGTTCTACACGCCGAGAGGACAGAGAGTCTGGAGCGCATTCCAGCGACAGGGATCGAGGCCAGGCCGACTTCGGCAAGCATCACACCTCGGCCATCCTGGTGCTGGAGCTGGCGTCCCTGCTCTATCCAGGGCTCGCAAGGCGGCCGGCTCGTCGGGCTCGGCAGCTCCTGCGTCCAGGCGCGTGGCGGAGGAGACCAAGGTGCCCGACTCCGACGAGGAGAAGGAGCTCGAGGTCGGCGAGTCCGAGGGAGAGCGGCCCGCAGAAGAGACCGAGGAGCTCGAGGGCGACGACGAGGTCTACGTGGCGTACCCTGCGGACTTCGACCAGGACATGGACGGCCTCAACGTCGAAGACCCTCCGATGGGCATCGAAAAAATCAAGACGGGCAAATACTCAAGCTTCACGTTCGCGGACTTCGCCGAGAAGCGGTACCCGGTCGCCTACGGCGTCAACATGATCAAGAGGTCCATGGGACAGGAGGCGCCGGGCGGCAAGCCCAAGCTGGACCAGTACCGGCTCGAGTGGTACTTGATCTGGCTCACGGCCATCGGCGAGTGGAGCGCGGACGACCCTTCGGAGACCCAGGCTGACGACTCGCTCGACGTCCTCGGCGGTTGCTTTAGTGTTCTTATGATCGACCCCGCTACGGACGAGACCGAGGCCTACGGCGTGAGAAGGAAGGAGCCACCAGGATTTGCAGTTCTGGACACGGCGCGCCAGGCTGCGATGCACGGCAAGGGGGTCGGCGGCGGAGCTAAGTCGGATACAATGTACAGCTTGCCTGCCGGCATCGGCGGGCAGCCGCTCGCGCTCGAGTCGGCAGAGCTCGCCCAGGACGCACCGTTGCTGATCAGCAGGGGCTCACAGGAGAGGCTCGGCACCGTGATCGACGTTGACAAGAAGGTCGCGGATTTCACCAAGCTGGGTGCGTACGGCTACAAGCTGATCAACACTACGAGCGGCCACCTCGGCGTCAACCTACTGGACTTCCCAATTCCCGGCGCCTTCGGTCCAGAATTCCAGGAAATTCAGCCGCAGGACGGGCTCCACGGGGACTACATCGACACGAACTGCATCGACTCGTCGGAGGTGCTAGCCGCATTCGTGCAGAAACCGTCCCAGGAGGCGCTGATCGAGGAAGTCTTCGAGGTTCCCAAGGAGATCGACCGGGACACCGACGCGGCCATGAGGATGGCGAGCTCGAGGCGTGAGAAGAAGGTCCAGGCCATGCACGACGACCTGCGGACCGTGGAGATGAGGACCATGGACGTGATGGCCGCGACGGTCATGAGGCGCAGGACGCTACACAGAGGCAAGACGTTACTCGAGCAAATCTTCTGCGGCCAGTTCGGGCTCACCCTGCTCGCGACGGCCACCTATAGCTACGACTGCGGCCAGCCCCTGGACATCTCGGACGGCTGGGATGGCGCGACCCGGAAGGGCCGACAGCTCGCCCGTCGCCAGTCGCTGGAGGAGGACCCCTACGTGACGGTCATTACGATGCAGTGCGGACCGTGGGGAGACTGCGGGCGATGCAACTTCGCGAAGGGCGGTGCTGCGGCGGCGACCGTCTACGAGGCCCAGGAGGCAACGAGGCCCCTGCTGGCTGTGTCGGACCAGCTGGTGGTGGACCGCGTGAGCCGCGGCAGGCATGTTTTACTGGAGCAGCCCCTGGGATCAAGCGCTCGCGACGAGCCCGAGATGAAGAGGACCAGGGAGCTTGTGGAGAAGGGCGTGCTGTTCGAGTGCACGCCTCACGGCTGCCAGCTCGGACACGCGGACGAGGAGACTGGCGAGCCGCATTACAAGCCGATGAGGTTCCTCACCACGTCGGTTGCGATCTACGAGGCGCTGCGTGACGCGAAGTGCGACTGCAGCCACACCCACGCACTGTTCGAGAATGAGAAGAAGACGGGGGCTGCGGCAAGGTGGCCC